TGGGAAAGGGAGCGAGACAGAAAACTGGCTCAAACACCCATCATTGCATCTTCCTATACATCGCGCTCTGACCAGCTATGGAATCCGGAACAAACTGAGACCATCTCTGGAAGCCCCTCTCGATTAATCAAACTGTGTCACAAGTGAGGCAGCAAAACACTGGCGTGGATGTTTTTAAAGGATGTAGAACTCACCATCTGGATGAGAAATTGCCTTGGATCTCGACTTTATAACATTAAATAAGACACTATTTTCTTAACTTTTTTTTAAGAGCATCTGAATTTGACAGATTCTTAAAATCAGTCACGGTTCTTAAGCCGTTTTTCCAGAGATTCTTTAAGAACTAACTACGACTACAAAAAAAAAGGTTACAAAAAGCAAGACCGAATTCAGGATTTTTGCTAAATTCTTTTGTTTTGAATTAAGAAAATTGTGTTAATAATAATCCTTGCATTTTGATAGAGCGCCTTATCACGTCTTCGAGACGTCTCAAAGCGCTTCAAAGAAAATATACTGTAAAATGAATCGGCTGTATGTTTTGTGGGCGAAACCTCCACACAGGTCTAAACTCAGGTGCAATTTCTCCCCCAGAAGTTCTGCTCAATGGACCTGATCAATTCTTCGCATCGTAGGTACAGCACTATAGAATATGCCCGGTGCAGATCCATGTATGTTTTGCTAAGAGCCGCTTTTTCTCACACAGCCAGCCGTCTGTTACGTTCAGGTGCGTAATTACACAGATTGAGCTGAACGAAACTGCAAGTGTCAGAGGAACGTCCACGTCTACTCTGCAGTAATGCTCAAGTCAGTGCTAAGACCGAGGATTCCGAGGCTCAGGCAGAGACTGTTAGTGCGTTAGTTATTCTAAACCGTCGGCGAGATGCTTGGATACAAGATTTCCGTATCATTCCTCCGCCAAAAACATCACTTAGCTGGTGCTAATTTGCAATTGATTAAGCACAGAAGTGGATGGGTAGGCCCAGCTGAAAGCCCAAGTGATACTGATGCTCTTTACCAACAATAATTCTGTATTCTTGCGCAAACTCTATCGTTCAGTGTGTGACGAGACCTCAAGGGACACCGAAAAGAAAATGAACAGAGAGATAAAAAAAAATCAAGTCAATATCTCGGTTCCCCCATAAATAAATGAAACGGACATAAGCACAGCAGAATAATTGAATACGCTTCGCAAACACACTTGCGGAATTCATCAAGCATTCCTTGGGTGTAGATGGAGTTAAAATAAAGCAACGTAAAGTCTTCGCTGTGGAGCTTAAGAGCACAGGAGCAGAAACCTATTCAGTTTTAACAAACTAAACTAGTTTTGAGCATTTTCATCTTTAAAAGTTATCCTTATTAAACAAGGCGGGGGGGGGGGGGGGGGGGGGGTGGAATGGTTTATTTCCTTAAGCTGAGAAATAGGTTTCTCAAGGAACTAGGAAATATGGTCCTCAGTTCTGCGGGTAAGTATTATATATTTACTTGAACAACTTCTATTTATTCTTGGTCACCTGGGTGTCTGATACATGTGGAAACTCATCACTGTGCTTAAGAGAATCCAAACCAAAACAGAGTGTCATGCCTTCCATCTACACATAGAAATCCCAGAGATAGATTGTTGGAATGGAATGTGCTCTCTCCGCCTGGAGGGAGGCATCCTGCTTACCTAATTCCGGAAAGTATTAGGCGCAGGTTGGTGAGAGCCAAGGCTTGGGGGAAGCCCAGAGTGTGCGCTGGGGGTAACTGCTGGAGTCTGATCAGCTAAAACAGCATAGCTTGACATTGAGAGCATTTTCTGACGAGCTTTCCCACTGCTTGTCACCTGGAAATCAGTTCAGCTCTAAGGAGACCCTGCTTTACCTCCCCACCAAGGAGGATAGTCATTAATTGGTCACTTTGACATCCGACACGTGCGGGTTTGAGGCCTCACCAGGTGAACGATAAGTACCAGGAACTCCCTGCGAGTTTGCCGGTGGGCACCACAGCTCAGGATGAAACGTGCGAGAGCATTGCCGCAGCTCGGGGGGACACACGCATCCTTTCCCACTGAGCGATGTCTCTACCAGTTGGAGGTGCAGAGCTTGAGCAGCAACTGTTTACGTTTCTGCAAGACAATCAAGGCGGATTCCAAACACCGGGATTACAAACTCGTGTTCACAAACTCAGACTCCAGATTACACCTTCCAGCAGCTGCCGTCCCCAAGCCTAAGAGCTTCCTCATCAGCTATCTGACGGACATCTGCCTTCAGGGTGAAGGGAGGATCTCTCCAGGACAAATTGTGATGTGCCAGCGTCACAAGTTGTCCTCGAACATAAAACGCCTTGAAATGGTTAGTAAGAATCTGGTCGAAGCTACAATAGCCGATAAAATTAACAAGAACGTGGTATGAAACTAGAAGATTCTAAGTAATCGATTAGAACTTTTCAAATATAGATATATATATATACACACACATTAATCTTTGGTTTATGCAAATGAATCCTTATAAAATGTGCACATTAGTTAGAGATAATCAGAAATATAAAGCATGTCATCCAAGAAGGAGTGGGTCCAGAAAATTGTTAGCAGAAACAAGGTTTGCAACCACATATTATGTCACAGCATTGTAGCAATCAATCTGCTGACGGAAAAAAATATAACTGGACGTATGCGATTTTTTTTAAAAAAAAGAATCGGGAAAACGAAACCAGTTAATGAATTACGTTTGTACGTCACAGAAGATTGTAAAAAAAATAAGAACAGGGCATTTTCACCTCAGGTAGACAATGACGCATGTTGGAACTCACAATGCTACCCCACATTCATCATACAAGTTGAAATGACAGGTCAGAGACTGCTGACTGCATCAATGTGTGATCCAACTTATACCGAGACGATCCCAGGAAGAGCAGAGTCTAGAAAACACAGGTTTGATTCGCCACATTAGAATGTTGTTAAGCCTCTTATTGAGCCAGAGATCGCTAACTAACCTGAATAGCCTGGATTCTGCATAATTTCCTTGTTGCAGCGATCAAAATCTACAGAAAGCATTGGTGTTTGCAGATAAGCCCTATATTCTCCCTGGGACGAAGCATTTCACTCAGCATAGCATCATTCCTGCTTTCTCTCACCAATTCTTTCCTCCTCTGAAAGTCTCCTCTTTGCCTTTTCCTCTCCTGAAGAGTTTTGACTATTAGGCTATTAAGTGTTCAGATGGCATGAGCCTAATCCTTTCCTCACCCACAGCTTCTAGCGGAGAGCAATTAGGAACTGGAATGATTTTTTTCCTCCCTATACTAGGGTTATTGAGACCAATTGTAGAGTCCCAAAGAGCGACCTAACCCCAACTAACGTCAGAACTCAATGCAAAACTTGTGCATTTATGGTCCACGTGACTTAGTATTACTGTTACCAAGTATTACTAAAGAAGCTCTGCTCTTATTACTCCAGGATTGAGCCAGAACACACAGAAATGTAATGTGTGCCTTTACCGTCAAGATGACCACTTATTAACGCTTCTGAAATGGATAATCCCACCAGGTAGATAGAAGAAGTTTCTAAGTCAGTCATTAGAAGGTGTATTTCCTTACTCTGGGCATTATTTTTGAACGATACATTCTTATTAAAAATCACTAATGATAAAAATATAAGAACCTCTAATGTCCCCTAGTATCTTGCCTCTCTGCCCCCACCCTTTGGAACTCGATCCCACAAGCCCTTCGCCTTGCTCCCTCCCTTGCCTCCTTCAAGGCACAACTCAAGACCCTCCTTTTCGACCATGCCTTCAGCTGCCCTCCTACATGTCTGCAGGAGGGCGGCTGAAGGCATGGTCCTTGTCCCCACCACACTCGGGTCCTGATCCCTGACTGTTCAGCGCCCCGGGACATCCTCCTGACGTGAAAGGCGCTTCACAAATGCAATTTTGTTGTTGTTGTTGCAACAGTTCGTTGATGCTATTTGATCAGAGGAGCCCATCCCATGTCTCACCTTGAATAACAAGAGCTGATTTCTATTAAATAAAAACAAGAGATCGGTGGGAACACTCAGCAGGTCAGACAGCATCTCTGGAGAGAGGGAAGTGAGGTGAGTTAACGTTTCAGGTCAACAGCGTTAACTCACTTTCCTCTCTCCATAAAGAACAATAATAATAATAATCCTTGCATTTGACATAGTGCCTTATCACGAGACGTCTCAAAGCGCTTCACAGGATATACTATAAAGTGAATTGACTGTATATTTTGTGGGTGAAACGAGGGCAGCCAATTACGCACAGCAGCGTCCCCACAAACAGTCTGCCTGACTTGCTGAGTGTTCCCAATGACTTCCGTTTCTATTTCAGACTTCCAGCACCTGCAGTACTTTGCCTTCAGATTTCTTGTTTAACGGTTGTGGGTTCAGTGTCTGAATCCGATTACGTCTCGAAAACGCATGCTCTCACCACACGTGTGCAACCATTCACCAAAGGGGCAAGTGCCTACCACCCTCTCTCTTTTTTTGTTGCCACAGACTTTGCATAAAGTTATTTGAACACAAGTCCTCGTACGTTCCTAAGTAAAGGACGTGTCCGAGAAACAGCATTCAACCTGGGAGCCTTGGGGGGTGTGGGGGGAGGGGGAATGTGTGCGAATGAGCCATTTTAAAGTGCAAAATCGAAAGATAGGTTACACATCAATCCTGAAACGAACAGGTCAACGTGTGAAATGGGATACGGCAGCCCAGAGCAGCTCTGCGTCTTCTACAAATTCAGCAACCGGTTTGAGAAAGAAAAAAACACACACGAAGTATACACACCCACATTGGCCCCACATTGTACAGTGATCCATCCACTTTTGATTGATTTCAGCAGGAGCGGATACTAGGACTCTTCTTCCCATCTGTTCAGAGATTGAACGTCGAAAACACAAGGCCTGGAAAACTAAAAGCCGTAGTTCACAGAGGCTGATGATCACACGGACTTTCTGAACCATGTCTCGGAAATATTACAACTGATTTTTAATGACTTTTCGCCTTCTGCTTCCTCCTTTTAAAGTGCCATCGCGTCAGCTATTGTTTTTTTTAAAAAATCGTTCACGTATTCCATTTAGCCAATTGGACTAGATCACATCATATCTCTTGATTAGAAAATAAATAGCCAAAGAGTAGGACGGGTAGCTGTCAGGTGAGGTATGATTTGTAATCACGTACGGATGGATTCTTGTGTGTTTCACCTGCAAGGCACTAGTAAATAGTTTCATTATTTCAGCATGAAAAGTACTGGCGCACTGTAAGAGCGTCCAACTTCATCATGAACAAACACCTGCCTTGTACCCAATTCATTCCTGAGATTAACCTTTCAAAAATACCGGAAAGAATATAAAAAAAACCCTGGATTTTTTGATAGGTACAAAAACATCCCCTAAAAAAACACCCTTGATAAGAATGAAGGAAAACATTTCAATCGCCGGGAATCACCAGTTACTACAAGTCCTTCCTCTTGTTGAATTTTTCCAGCACTGTTGCATTTGTATTTTCGAACACCCACTGCTGATTAGCGGATGACGGGTGGCAGATATTCATAAAGATCTTTTTATCAGTTCCACTGGAGTCTAGGCAGCTGTTAGTGACTTGATGGTAGAGAGTCTTATCCTAGAAAAGATAATAACTAGATTAGAAGGCAATAGACAAATCGGTTCAGTATATAATAACACGACGACACAACAACGACAACTTGCATTTATACAGTGGCCTTTTACATGGGGTAATGTCGCAGTTGCTTAACGATGGTGTAGCTCGACGCGGAGCTGGGGAGAAAGGACGCTCAGACGGCCAGAGCCAGCCGGGCGAAGGAATTGGGTTGAGGAGTACAGTGCGAGCAAAGAGATATGTAGGGTCATGGCAAAGGAATTGGGAGAGATACAAGCCATGACCCTACATATCTCTTTGTTTCTGGAGGACTTCAGCTGTTTTTCACGTTTTTCGAAATTTGATCTGGTCGAAATCTGTCCTTAGACTGGCCAAAAAGCAACAGCGTCTAGACACTGAACTCAAAGTTACAATTCCATTCTTGACCTGGATTTGCAGACAGATTTGGAGGGGATCTCGATGACCAATGGTAGAAGCGATTAAGTCTGATCTTGCCTTGGCATCTCGTACCTTTTTATATTGCCATAGCTGGTTGCCCCTCATTCCGTGGCAGTCGTACAGTGAGAGCGGACTGTTGTTGGAAACGGCATCAAAACAAAATTTTCGAGTGTGCAAAGGATCTCCAGGGCGTATATCTTCTCTCCAGCCCAACGTGAATACCTGAGAAACAGAGGTAGCAAAGCTAAAGCAACAATCCGCACGTCACAAGGAATTTCCAGGCAAATAATACATATTTTACATATATATATATGTATAACAATCCTTGCATTTGATACAGCGCCTCATCGCGTCTTCAAGACGAGTCAAAGCGCTTCACAGAATATACAGTAAAGTGAATTGACTATATTTTGTGGGCGAAACTGCCCAAATTGTCTGCCCCTAATTCTTTGCATGTTCCCAAGTGTGATTGACCTCTGGAAGGTTTGGGGGTGGGGGTTGGGGTGGGGGGGGGTGGGAATGAAAAGAAAACCATGCTGAAATAGGAGAATCAGCAGAGACCGTATTAGCTGCTGCACCATAAATCAGTTGAACAAACCCAACTTACTGAGCAACATCGCAGCCACCAGATGGCAGTGGTACATTTGGCATTTCTTCTGCTCGGTGCAGTCTACACATTATACTACGGTTTTCATTTTCTTGTGAAAGCCACAGCCCCGACAGTTCCCAAGGTTTTACTGGAAGTGGGACAAACGAGGCCCCTTTTCACGGCCGCTCGCTAAATTCAAAAGTCCACACGTTAACAGGCTGCCCCCAACAGCCACTCACTCATTCGATGTGAGAACGTACTGGTTCTTGGTTTACGAACTGAAATGGAAAGGAGGCTTTCGGTTTACTCACTTGTTCGTGGGACCAGGCACCATCCGCCCCATCTTTGACACACACTTCCAATCTCAGAGGTGTGCCTGAGGACCCATGTTTACTGTCTATGCACAGACCTGCCCCAACATTGCGGATCTAGGGGAGGGGGAAAAGGTACGTGAATTAAATCGTCTTAACAATGAAAGACGGACTTTCAAGCTGAAGATGATGATAATAATAATAAACCTTACATTTGATATAACGTCTTCGAGACGTCTCAAAGCGCTTCACAGGGTATACTGTAAAGTGTAGTGACTGTATGTTTTGTGGGCAAAGCGCAGCAGCCAATTGCGCACAGCAGCGTCCCCACAGACAGTCGCGGATTGAGTGACCAATTTATTATTATTATTTTTTTTAAGGAATTATTACCCTTATTATTAAGATGGATTGTTCTTTTAATTATAGAGCATTATAAAGACAAAGTTGTGAGTCGACCAACTCCTCTGAATTGCTTTCACCCGTCAGCGTGCTGTTAATTGGCTAAATGCTTGCGCTGCACTGTTGCCTTCACAGCGTTAAGACTTATTGGATTGCACAGTTCTAGACTGAGAGGGCACAAGTGGTGCACGTACAACATCTTACAAACTTACCGTCGACGTTTAAACGAAGAGGATGCTTCAGCCACTTGGAACTGCCTATAACCACCAAAAACGCAACAGAACGTCCTTTACCTGGACATCTCCGGAAGTCCGCATATCACAACAAATGTCCTCAAACTCACCTCTCCCCAGGCACCCGCTGGTGGTTCCACTGGTGGATAGTACTTGGGTAGATCCCATGCAACTTCAGTCATGAACCACTTGAAGTTTTTGCAGTTCAGAGAATTCCTCAGTTCTTTCTGCAGAGTTACATCCCCGGCTGAGATGTGTCTGTACTCTGGCCTCCGCTGATAGAGATACTCGGCATACTCATCCATCCACACCTCGGCCACTCGCTTCAAATTCTGAAACACAAATGCGGTTCGTCTGAATAAAACAAAACCCAAACGTAACTATGGCACGACCTGCATTTTTAAAAGTCAATTTATCTGACAAACACATCGGTGCACACGAGGAACGCTGGCCCAGTTAGACATGCTAGTCCCAGTGTCTTTAAGGATTGAAACCGCACTATGGACACGGGATCTGTTTTACGGGATTCTGATCAACGTTTAAAATATCGCTAAGAATTCACTGTAAGAAGGAACTATATATGCCCTGCATTTGATACAGATATTGTGTCATCGAAACTGTCTCAACGCGCTTTGAAGTATTTTTGTGCCAGACTGCAGTGACTATGCATTTGTAGATGAATGAGGCAACCAATTTGTGGTTGACGCAGCAGTGTCCCGCAAACAGCAGCGTAGTGAACGAGCAACTTAATCTGTGGCACTGTTGGTCGGGACACCAGGAGAAACTCCCTTGTCTTTTTGAATCGTACCGTGGGATCTTTAGTGTCCAAGTAAAACAGGCAGGATTTCACGTTAGCTGAAGGAAGGGACATCTGACAATGCAATGCTCACCCCAAGACTCAGGTTAAATGGCATTTTGCACAGCGGAACAGTACTGTCTGGATGTCCAGAGCTCTTAATGAATGCATTGAACATATTGGGGGCTCAATACAAGAGACAGACAATGTCACGTATCAGCCAAACCAAATTACTTTTGTATTAGCACCTCTTAAATGTCAGGAGGTGTATTTTGATGACTGCGAAATACACCACTCAGCACCCCCGTCCATAGCGACTGACAGAGAGTGAAATCTATAGCTTTCAGTGTCAAAATCTTCCCAATTGCAGCTAACATCTTGGACATTGAGGTCACTCGCCCTCGTCTAGGTCCATTCCACTTCTGAGCTGCTCTCTGCTCACCTCCCTACTACACACCAAAACCGTTGTCCATTTTTCATTACCGGCAGTTTAACTGAAATGTCTCGCTGGAAAGGGCATGACATAAATCAATTTGAAAGCGACCAGCTGAGGAGCTCAATTTCCCTGTTGGCTCGAGTTGGCTTGTATGCTCGTTGGCAACTTGTACGCGATATTGGCAGTTGAAGCAATTTGGCAAAATTTAATTCTGCCAGGCACAATTCAGTCCCATGTAAATGCTACAATCTGTTCTCAGTCCAGAATTGTAACGGGGAAATTGAGGTCACCTCCAATCTGGAACCAGTCAAGCCCACACACTCCCATAATTGGAATTGGATCGTGTGGCGAGCAAGTTCCCCAGGGCCAGATGTCAGTATAAACCTGAGGCCTACTCGTCGCTGATGCACCTTGTTCGAAGAATTAAGTTGGGTGAGTGAGGCTTGTGGATACATATGGGATCTGATGTGTGCTAAAACAGGCAGCATCAGTGGGGAAAACTTTGCTCCAACTGTGTTGGAAGTTTGCGGCTTTAGAGGCAGCAAGAGCTTGACAATCTGGTGATCCAACACAGAGGGTAGGAAAGGCGATGGTGGGACATATGAATAATTGCACACTTGGTGCCGCTTACCGTCAAACCTCACACTTAAATTAGGGCCAGCTCTCTCTATTCAAGTCAAATCAAATCCATATTCCCTAATTCGAATTGATTTCCTTCACTCTGTAAAAAAGATCGTCTCCTCAAAATACACCGTTCCTTTTCATAATTTTTCGCATAATCTAACCGACAACTGTGTTTAAATAAAGGAAATGCGGTATTAAGGGAAACCAACGGCATTCACTAAAATATATTTTCGTACACTTCTTTTTAGGGGATGGCGGGTGGCGGTGGGGTGGTGTCGAGGAAGAGATTTGATGCACAACCCACATTCAGTTTTTGTCAATATGATTAAGACTTGACATTGAACCTCAACGTTTAGAGTTTTATAGCATAAATATATCTCACCCTCTCTCGTTTCGTGTAGCTTCAGGAGAACTCATACTCCTGGTTCAAAGCAAAACGATTTTCCGAGTGTTAATTGCAAACTGACCAGATACAACAACAACAACTTGTACTTATATAGCACCCTCCATACAGGGTAGCGTCTCAGAGCGCTTAACAGTGGCGGAGCCTGACTCCGAGCCGGGGGGGTTGGGTGGCCGTAAGCACGGTCTAAGAGGAAAGTTTTCAGGCGGGACTTGAAAGAGGGGTGAGAGGCGCAAGGCGGAGGGATTGAGGGAGAGTGATTCAGAGTTAAACCATGTGACTGTTACTGTACAGAAGCTCTTTAAAGGCGTGGATTTTCTTCAGAGGGGAAAAAAAAAGGCAGGTTTAGTTACTGCAACAAGAGGGAAGCAACATGGAAGTCTAAGCAGAAAAACACTTACTCTGGGCAAGCCAAGACCATTTGGAACCTTGTAGGGTACATATTTCCTGTAGATATGTCCGACCCTGGAGCAAGGAATGTCTTCCATCCGTCCACCACACATCCAGACCTGCCGTCCCATTCAGAGACATGGAAATGAAGAACAATGTGATTTTGAAATAGCTGAGGTGAAACCTATCAGCACTTTAAGATGTAGCACAATGATAGTATAATCCTTGCATTTAATACAGCTCCTCATCATGTCCTTGAGACGTCTCAAAGCGCTTCACAGGATACATTGGAAAGTGAAATGACTGTATTTTTTTTGTGGGCGAAACACAACAGTCAATTGCGCACAGCAGTGTCCCCACAAACAGTCGTGGGTCGAGTGACCAATTTTTTTCTTTTCTTTCTTTTTGAAGGAAGGGATTATTACCCACAGAAAAGGGAATCCACCAATCGACTAACAATTTACTGCTATGTAAATAGAGGCGTGTGGAATGAGGAAACTTGCCCAAGGTATCGCCCTGCCCGGGAATTGAACCCGGATCCTCACACTTGCGAGGCGAGTGCTCTAACCACTGAGCTACAGGACTCCACTGTATGCTTAAGATCCATAGTATTTCTGGAGTTCTGGGCAAGTTATTTTGAGTTCCTCAAGTTGGAGGTGGATACAATAATTTCCCTGGAGGTAGGAACTGTTTAGGGGTTAAAATGATACGATTACACTGCTGGGCATCAGTGCTGGATTATTACTTACCCTATAGGCAATACAATACAGATACAAAACTCCCCAGTGTTATTCTGCAACAGGGAAAAAGGCAGTAAATCATTTTTTTCTTCTAAAATGAACGCTTGCAAGCTATGGGACTAGGCTTTAAAACACAGTTAAAAAATATATTTTTGGAAAAGAAGTGTTAGAAAAGTTAGAAAAGTGCCTCAGAGAGAATTGTTCAAGAGGTTATCTCAATGACAGACAAGTAAAACCAGAAATAACAGCAGGATTTCTGCAATTTTTACTGTGGGGATACATTCATTTATTAACAAATATCATCCAGGACTTCTATAATAATCATATTTCATCCACAAAATATACATTCAATTCACTTTAGTGTACTTCCTGTGAAGCGCTTTGAGACGTCTCGAAGACGTGATAAGGCGCTGTATCAAATGTAAAGATTATTATTATTATTACTTGCATTTGATATGGTGCCTCATCACATCGTTGAAGCGTCTTAAAGTGAAGACTTTTACTCTGAAGTGTAGCGAGCGTGTTTGTACGTGAATGCGTTCAGCCTACCATTCAATCCCAAATTGTAGCATACAGTACAATGGAGTGTTCATTACTAATGATAAGAGATGGTTGTCTGTGAGTTATGAGGCAAGACTGGAACTCAGCAGATCAGGTCACACTTTAAATCAAATGTGGCAAGAAACAAATGGTCACTGGAATTAAAAACTGGCACAAACACACTTTAATTGAACGGAGCCAGTGGTCCGGGAAGAAGAAAAAAAAGAATGATTTTCATTAAGAGCAAGAGTTTTCCAATTAAGAAGCATTAAAGTGTTAGCCTGGCTCAATTGGTAGTACTCTCTTCTCCACGTTATGCACAAATTGGCGCTATCGAGAAGAGGCTGCGCTGGAATAATCCTAAATATTATGGGTCCAACACCCCGTGTTTGGTAAGTCAGCCGTCGGGCTGTGGTAAGACAAGCTGAGATGTCGGAACCCTCTTGTACTTTGTTAAGAATGTTCTGGTTGGTTTCCGCAGGACCTCTGCGTGCTGGTTACCTTGAAAGATATTTCGTACTGTTCTCCTCCCCAGATTTCTAAACCCGTGTCGTAACCGCCCAACTCCCAGAACCACTTTCTGTCCACGGCGAACAATCCTCCCGCCATCACAGGGGATCTGAAAAGAAAGGAGGGTGAGGGCATTTTAGTTGCAAGTTAAGGCGTTGTGCTGAATAAATGGAAGACACAAAATGGGGATTGAATGCAGTTCGGTGAGAAAACCTGAGATTGATTGTCTCAATCGATTGGATTTGGTAGTTTCACTATAGCCATAATTTCCCAAATGCCAGTTAAGAAATCATGGATGAAGTGCCCTTCTCCCAGTTTTGAAAGGTACAGGCCAAACCATTTATTATTATTAATAATAATAAAAATGCAAGGAAATTATTACAATATTAATAATAACAATACTTGCGCTGTATATATGTGTATATAGATAGCGTCTTATGCCATCGCAATGTTTGAAAGCGCTACACAGGATTTACTGTGAAGTGCTGTAATTGTTTGCTGGCAAAAGTGCAGGCGATTTGCGCACAGCAATGTCCCACAAACAGCCATGAAGTGAATGACCAATTTTATCTGGAGGATGATAGGCCTGGAAATCTGTCCCCGAACTCCACCCCCCCCCCCCCCATCCAACAGGCAGACAGGAGGGACCTTGGTTTATTTCAACAACAACAACAAGCATTTATATACAGCGCCCTTCACGTGGGGTAACGCCCTGGAGCGCTTTCATCTAAAGGCCGGCACCTTCAACAACCCAGTGCTCTCCCATTACTGCACTGAAGTGTCAGCCTCGACTGTGAGTTCAAAGTCCCAATGTGGGGCTTTAACTCACTTCCACTTTTGATTCAGAGGGTACCACCTGAGCCAGGCTGCTAATGAGATAATCCAATACATTCAACTCCTCCTCCAAAAGCACTGAAATTCACCAACTCTTCTGCTGTTCGCTAAACAACCCTGGAATTATCAAGAGCTACTGTTTCAAGAGCTACGTCAATGGAACTGTGGAAAACTGAGGCAAGACAGAAGTTAAAATACAAAACCCACAATCCACTAGACTTTGCAGTGTGAAAGCACTTTGAGATGTTCTCCCGGAATGAAAGTCACTGCATCAAATGCAAGGATTATTAAAAGTGCAATTTGATTGCGTTCAATGTACATTCTACAAGTGTTTAATGGGCAGTGAGCACTCCACTGGGAATATTATTCTCTCAGTCCAATCAATCATTTTTATTCCTCTGCACGTTAAATATCTCATAGGAAGAAGTACCTTTTACTTGTTTAATGTCTGTGTTTGAAACGGGAGATACATTACTTACTGTTCCTGAGCTATCCTGACTCTTGGATTGAAAGTATAAATGGTCAAACTATGTAGATACAAACACAATAATCACGGTTGATATAGCATCTCTCACACATCGGGAGGACGTCTCAAAGCTCTTCACGTTATATACTGCAAAGCTGTATTTTGTAGGTGACCCGCGGGAAAAGGCAGCAAAAGTCCCACAAACAGCCATGAAGTGAATGACCGATTTCACGTGGCCATCATTGGCCGGGACACCGGGGGAAACTGCCTTCTTCAAATAGTGCCGTAGAATTTTTAACATCCACCTGAGAACTAAGTGCTCCGGGACCCTACCCCGTGTGATGGGCGCTATGTAAGTGCAAGTTGTTGTTGTTGTTGTTGTACACCCTGGCCAATATGCTGAGACCCGACAATCGAAACGTGGATAGGAATAGGATAGGATAGGAAATAGGAGCCGTGGATCCCATTAGGCAGCCATGACAAACCACTGGGTATTGGTTCCAGTGACTGAGCTGAGTTGCTTTTAAGTGGATCACATTTTTGGGCCCCATTCAATGCTTTAAGAGTTGAGTCATTTAGGTTTTCTTTGATCGTCATTAAACAACATCTTCATCTCCCCCCCACACCCCCCACCAGGTGCTGAAATCGAACGATTATGGTTTCGCATATCGGACGCCTAATAATAATAATCCTTGCATTTGATACAGCGCCTTATCACGCCTTCGAGACGTGTCAAAGCAAGTCACGGAATACACCGTAGAGTGCGGTGACTGACTGTATGCTTTGTGGGAGAAGCGCGCTTACTCGAAAGGCTCGCTCGGGTCACTTTTCGTCAGCTCTGCTGGAATCGGAATACGTTTGTAGTACATTTCCCAGTCAAATGCTCCTCGCATAGCGTCACCAGCCTGCGTCTCATATCCAAAATGCTCGTTGTCAATCACATCAATCATCGGGCAGACGATAGTCTTGCGGCTCTGAGCAATCCTGTCTGAAAGACGACAGCAAATGACGGATTTTAAAACAAAAAAGTTTGGGTGGAGGTTTGAGGAGAAAGAAAAATATTCTGAAACGAACCTCTTCTGAGAGACAATAATTATCCTTGCATTGGATATAACGCCTTATCACGTCTTCGAGACGTCTCAAAGGATGTCCCTGCCAGCCTCACCCTTATGTTCCAATCAAAGAAGATTTTCGGTTCTCACCAAGTAACGGAGGAAGCCAATTCACGTTCGCCTCGCAATGAGAGTCCAGGAAGGTTATAACGTCTGCCGTTGCGAACGAAGCCCCCAGTAGCCGTGTTCGAATTAAACCTTCCCTCTTCTTCGTGCGCAAAATCCGGACCTTTGGGAATCGGGCCATGTATTCCTCCAACTGCTTCTTCAAATGTTCTAATGGGAGAGAAAAAAGAACAAGTGTTAGTAATGATAAAATAATTTGATATAGCGCTTTTCACATCAGGAGGATGTCTCAAAGTCCAGCGCTTCACCAGATTTACTGCAAATTGTAATGACTGTGTATTTATTTGTCGGGCAATTTGAGCACAGCGACGTCCCACAAACAGCCGTGAAAGTGAACAGTCAATTTTTGAGGGGATTGTTGGCCCCAACACCGGAAGAAACTCCCTTCTCTTTTTAACTTGTTCATTGGCATCTTTTAACGTTCAGCTAAACGAGCAGCCAGATCCTCGGTTTAACGTCTCATCTGAAGAACGGTACCTCTGGCAATGAAGCGTTTCTTCAGCACTGTACTGGAGTATCAGCCCAGCTATGATTTTCCTGCTCCATCTCAATAACCATGTCATATAATGTGGTTTATATGAAACCATCTGTGGTTTCACTTTGTGACCTGAGCAGCTCACACTTATCTAGTTTCTTCACATAATTCATCTATCACTGCAGTTGAGCCTCACATTGCTCCACCACTAGGCCTCTTACCTTGTGTGGTTAAAGCAATTAATATTGCTGACATTTCAGAAACATACTTTCAGTCAGATGTATTCGGATTGCTTAAAATAGACAACACGTTTTTTCTGGCACTCCAAACAGTGCGACACATCTTTAATCTTAAGGTAATAACCCTAAACTCTATTGTACGAATTCAGAACGGCTCGGTTACTGAGACAGAATGCCTCAGAGATTCCTTCTGCAGTTCATCATTTATCAATCCGCGTTGTGTTTGTCAACCGTGGGCAAAAAAAACAGACAGATATTAATTGACATCCCGAAAGTTAAAGATTGCTGCATTTATTTATTTTTTGGTAGGTTTCACAGTGTTCAATAACTCATCTATCAAGTAAATATAAATCAGTTCAGCTAATTGAGTCAGTAAATCATCTTTGTAATATACCTGTGACCTTAAAACTTTGGAATGGAAAAATAGATATGAAACTCCCTTTGCTATTTAAATGCCGCACTTTTCCTTTAAAGGTATGCGGTCCAATTTCTGAGCATTACATGTAGCAAGCTGCCGCGGAACGAATAGCTGGCCAGTAAAAGATATTAACACTTCACTCCCAAAATGCATATGGTAATGTTGGGGTACCCTCTGCCAACAACACAGCAACTCGGAACAAGAATATCCCTTACAAGAAATCTCATACAGCAGTATCTCCTGATCTTAACTCCAACAACGCTGACTCGCTGAAAAAAGACCAAATAATCCCTCCCAAAACAAAACAAGAATAAATTGGTCATTTTCAATCCACGACTGTTTGTGCGGACGCTGCTGTGCGCAATTGGCTGCCGCGTTTCGCCCACAAATATACGGTCAATTCACTTTACAGTCTATTCTATGAAGCGCTTTGAGATGTCGAGAAGATATGAAAAGCGTTATATTAAATGCAAGGATTATTATTATGACAGACAAATACAGAGTCGTCAACTATACTTGGCTGATGCATCTGTAAAGGTGAGCTGTAATAATGAGTGGTTGCTTTTCACTATACGGTGAGAATTTGATGGATTTATTTTTAATGACCTCCTGATAATGGTCAAACTCACTTCTCCCAGGAGAATCTCTTGGAAAATAGCAGTGGGCCACCCAGTCAATAATAGAGAATAAGTGCTTCTCATCAAACATACCTCCCCTACAATCTGCCTCCTTTTAATAGCCGTACCTTGGAATGAAAGGTTTCCATTTCCTGACTGAGAGAGCAAGGATTTAAAATAAACTTAATCAGCTTAATTGTAGCCCGGCATTTCTCAAATTGCTGCACTGACATAAAACTAAGCACTTAAACTGGGTTCTGACCCAAGGCGTTCCATAACTCCCGATACTAACCATTACAGGGCTACATTCTAGTAATTAATGTTCCTTAAAGCCGCATTGTAAAATTGATGTATTTTTGTGCATCTCAAAGGCAGATTGCTGAGTGAGGAGAGGGGACTATGGTTCTTGGGTTCAACTGTACAGCTTGCATGTAATATTTCCAAGCGTGTTCTCCAACCCTATTTTGCAGGATCTGGAATGTAAAAGTCGTGGCTGGACCAGGCACTCAATTCTACTCAACCCAATCATTGGAAAATCAAGCCTTGGGGGAGTGAGGGGGGAGCAGGGAGGCAAAAAGAAATTGGTTGACACCTGTCATACATGTTGATCTTTCTAACACATACAACACGCGGGACAGAGTGAATCACAAGACAATAACATAGTGAGCACTTGAGATGCCTTCATAAAGTTTGAGAGTGAAGGTTTAATAAAGGGAAGGCAACCGAAGGGAATAGGGAAATGGGATCAGGGTGGATGGATGAGTTGTGTTTTGGTGCTGTACAATCTCTATAATTCCATGTAAATTCATTAGCGCACTCCCAAGTTATGTTCTTGCCTTGAAATAAAATCTAAACTTTCCTATTTAATATTATACACAAGGCAGAATTTGTAGCATTTCTTTACCTCTGTTGCCACACATTCCACCATCTAATCTTTGATTCAAACACAAGAGACAAAGTATCATCTAATAATAATAATAATCCTTGTATTTGATATAACGCCCTGTCACATCTTCGAGGCGTCTCAAAGCGCTTCACAAGAATAGAGGCGACTGTTAAAAATCACGTCAGCTTTCAAAAGGGTCTGAAAAGACAATAAGAGGGAAATCTGGCACAATGGAAATAGCGCTCACAAATATTACACAGAAACGGAATTTAAAAATTAAAAATCAAGGTTTTCCATCGCTGCACAGAAGAGAAAACATAGCAACTGAACAAAGATCCCAAAAACATGGGAATGTAAAAATGCCAACGCAATCCAACGAGAACTGAATTGAAAAGCGAGACTTTGTTCCTTCACTTTGTTCTCATTGAGGAGTTAGGAGCACAAAGGTCGGTCGGTCGGTACTGGGAACATTTGCTGCCGTTTGGCGTTATTCGTGTTTATAATAACTAAGAATTTATTATCCACGCTTTGATTGTTTAAACAATTTGCCTCCAGCTTCCTTAAGGTCTCCACCACATTTATAACACTTGGTACGTTCCCAATCCAAACAGAAATTTAATTATTCAGGTGAACATATTGTGCAAAGGCCAGAGCTGCAGAATCAACAGAGCCGAGCTTTGGATCTGTTCTCAGCGACGAAACCAATAGAGAGCTGCAGGAGAGAAGAACCTTTATACCGATGTGTTCAGTGAATGCTGCCCTTCTGCATGTCTTCCCCCCCATCCTGTCCATCACACCATTCAGCCGTTCTGTCCCCGCTCTCTGGAACTCCACTGGAGTCACTCCAATTCACGCTCTGCCCTTGTTCAAAGGCAGGTCTCAAAATGTACCTCTTTGACTGTGGTTTCAGTCATCTTTTCCCTCCTCACCCCCACCCCACCCCACCCTCCACCCCCAGCTCTCCCACCCAAGCTTGGGTGCACTTCCTAGTATTTTTACGTCCTGAAAAGTGCCGTATGAACACATAGTCCTTTCGGGAGCCCTGTAGCTTAGTGGTTAGAGCACTCGACTCGCAAGCGAGCCTGATTGAAACCACCGCTTTGAAGCTGAGTGCAACTAACACGTGTAAGGAGCTGGTGTCCGGATCAATTATTGAGAAACCTCTGTATTACCTGTATTTCAATTCTCCAATTTAGCAACAATTGGCTGAAATTGGCCATTCGGCCCAACTAGTCAGTGCCACTATCAAACAACAAATCAGCCTCCTCACAACCCTCTATTCTCTTCTCCCTCATGAATGTTAAACACTGAAGCACTGCACTTCTAACTGAAAGGAACGGAATGAGGAACAAACAAGAGGGGTAACAAATGGGGATAATTAGAAATATGAAATAATAATAATCCTTGCAATTGATATAGTGCGTCGTCGAGACGTCTCAAAGTGTTTTGCAGTTTATACTGTAAAGTGAATTGACTATATTTTGTGGGTGAAATAATTATACACAGTCATAATGGTTTACAGTGAACTCTGAAATGCTTTGTGGTGTCCTCCCGACTTGAAAGGCACTATATCAAATGTAAGGATTATTATTATCCACAGCTGTCCACCTGGAAGGAATTATAAAAGCTGAGAGCTAACTAAATGAAAGGTACCTTCACACACAGTGCTGTAAAGAATATGGTACGTACAGCTCCAGAAACGCAGAGAGGTAGAATCGACTGAGGTGTTAGGCAGGGAGATAGTTCACTACCTGGCGAACCCTCGGCAGAGAGACAGATCACTACCTTAGTGGTTAGAGAACTCGACTCGCAAGCGAGAGGACCTGGGTTCAATCCCGGGCAGGGCGAAACATTGGGCAAGTTTCCTGACTCCACCCACCTCTGTGCGGAGTGGAAGGTTGGATTGGAAGGTCATTTTCCGGGGGTAATAATCCCTTCAAAAATAAATAAAATAATAATAATTTGGTCACTCAATCCACGACTGTTTGTGGGGACACTGCTCTGCACAATTGGCTGCCGCGTTTCGCCCACAAAATGCACAGTCAATTCACTTTACGGTGTATCCTGTGAAAGGCTTTGAAGCGTCTCGAAGACGTGATGAGGCTCTGTATCAAATGCAACGATTATTATAAAATGCAAATAGAAGGATAATGAAGTCCAGCCACACACTGTTTAAAAAAAAAGTACTAAGATGTATTTAAAGCATTAACCGAGGAAGTATAAAATCCAACGTATTGGACATGAATGAGAAGGGCAGAAAAATCAATCACTCTGGAAGACTATAAAATCAGCCCCGGTCTACACACCTAAAAACATTATTCAAATAGGTTCAGCACTCTGTGGTTCTCTCAACACCACATCAGATTATTAAAAAAATATATATCCTTGTGTTCGATGCATTGCCTTAGCACCTGGGCAAAACATTGCAAAGCGCTTCACGGGATTTTCTATAAAGTGGTTGCGACTGTGTATTTGCAGGCTGTGTGTTTGGTGGAGAATCAGAGAGCTGCGCGTGTGTGTGTGTGAGTAGGAATATGGAAGCTATCCAACTGAGAAATGACGTAATCGATAAACAAGTGCTTAAATGTTCCATTAACCAGGAGACTTCTTTCACGCACTATAAATCACAGCACTGCTAAATGTACGACTGGTCTATTTCCCCCATGAATGATGAGATTGCGGCCCCTTGTTAAGCATTCTCTCCAATAAACCATCTTGGATATTAATACAGCATTTCCCCACCTTCCTCTCATTTTTCAGAGTCTTGGCTCCAAGGCTCGATTTTCCCAGACCATAGAAATAACAAACTCGGAGAAAATGGCACTGGTACGGCAAAGTTCAACGAATTCCACCTTCACCCTAAAGACAGTATCTCCAGCAATCATAGGCACCAAGGGAATGTTATTGTAACACAAACACTAACACTTGTACGAGGCACGGTTAATGGGATCTGTTGTTCCAGGGCTCACAATTACATTAGCAGTCTTCCTCTTTCTCTTCCATCTTCAACTCCCCTTCCTCACCTCTCTCTCTCTCTCTCCCCATCTGTCAGCAACGTCCCACAAACAGCCACGGAGTGAGTGACCAATTTTTATTTTATTTGCGGGTTTGCCGACCAGGATACCAGGAGAAACTCCCTACTCTCTTTTTTACTCACTGGCTCCATCTCACCTTGTTCATATCCACAGAGGATACCTTGTGTGGCTCGGTATGAGCTCCAATCTTGTGCTTGTCCGAATAGACTGTTGGTTGATAAGCTCAGCCCTGTACATCTATAATAAATAATCCTTGCATTTGATATAGCACCTTATCACGTCCTGGAGACGTCTCAAAGCGCTTCACAAGATATATTGTAGATATAAAGTGTAGTGACTGTGTGTTTTGTGGGCAGAACAATTGCGCATTTTTACATCTGCACACATTTACTGAACGCCATATTTAAAGCCCAAACAACATGTTAAAATAATATTTGTTTTGGTCAGCCAGGTCTCTTGACACATGCAAATAACATCGGGTCAATTATTAGCAGCGAAAACGCCCCACCGAGCCCTATTAGTTCAGGTGTACATGACATGCATATTAAACAAGTACAGCATTGTGAAATAAAAGAGAGTGGTACATATCTCAGGTACAGAGTAATGATAATGGAAAATAACAAGGGTTTAATATTAATGGCTTCGAGGAGATTAAAATCTGTCATTGAGAAACCGTCAGTAAAGAATTCACAACCCGCGCAAGCTCAGGCTAGAAAGAAAACAGATCATTTATTAGATGTTTTCTGATTTAGTGCTGACTGTTAAGATTGCGTTCATGGCTGTTAATGAACAGAAATGCTGAAATACAATTACTCTTGCTTCCCCCAATTGAGCAGGAGTCAAGAATTATTTGGGTAACATACTTATGCTGGCGACAATGATAAAGTATGAAATATTTAAATTTAATTCAGTCATTGAACGGGCAAAGTATATCCAGGCAAATGTGCATTCAAAGGAATGACTGGCCACCTAAAGTCTGCACCGGTTTTGAAAGGATAAAATGGGTAAATAATAATAAATAATGTGTTAAAGAGGCTTGTGATTTTTAATGTTTATCTTTCTCTGACACGCGGTGTTTAAATTTGTTTTGGGTTCTGAATAATTGCCTCGCGGAAGCTGTGAAGATAGATGGACACATTCTGATCTGCCATTGGACTGGTTGGAACTATATTGACTTGGGGTGATCAAGGCATTAGCATGTGGAGCTTTGTGGCTCAAAGCTGCATTATACACCGGACAATAGATAGCTGGCAATGAAATAGAGAGATAAAAAGAAAAAAAACGGGGATCTGAAATGAAGGCAGAAACCGATGAAATATATTAAAAAAATTCATGAAAACCAAAAGGCATTGCAGGGTACTTTTTAAGGTTCAAAGAAAACAAGTTAGGTTTCTGCCAGAAAATAGTATCTGGGGATACAGTCCCCAAAATATACAGTCAATTCACTTCATAGTACATTCTGTGAAGCGCTTTGAGATGTCTCGAAAACGTGATAAGGCGCTATATCAAATGCGAGGATTATTTATTATTATTTATCTATCCACCTCAGTCTTAAGGACATGAATGGATCCAGCATCCACAGCCTTTTTGGGGAAAGAGTTCCAGATTTCCACTATCCTTTGGGTGAAAAACTGCCATTTCTGGCCAAAGCCCTGGGATGTGTTGCACAAATTTTAAGCGCTCCAGGAGGCTACCCCCCTCCCCCACCACCGTGAAGGAAGCGATATAAATGCAAGTTGTTGTTATTGTTGTAAAGCTTAAATAGCGTGTTGGTTTATCAATGCCAGCACTTAAGTTACCTTTGTCACTGAAGTCATCGACGAGAACAATCTCCATGATAAGCTCTGGGGGTGAGCGATTAAGGACACTGTGGACAGTGCGGAGCAGAGAGGACCAGCCTTCGTTGTGGAATGGGATTATGATGCTGGTATTTGGAAGCTTCTCCAGGTACAGTTTTTTCTTGCAGCTGTTGATCACACAGACACATCGACGTCAATGGCTATCGTACAATTCCTCAAACTGAAACATCCAAAGCAATCCTGCACACAGGAAAATTACCGTCAATTTACACCTTCCCAGTCCTTCGAATCGATATTGCGCCGTTCACGTCAGAAGGATGTCTCAAAGAGCTTCACAGGGTATATATATATAGATATATATTAGTGCGCTATTGGCTGCCACGTTTCACCCACAAAACACCATCAATCCACTTTACATTATATTCTGTGAAGCGCTTTGAGATGTCTTGAAGATGTGATAAGGCGCGATATCAAATGCAAGGATTATTCTCCTTATTATATTGTAAAGTCTAGTGACTGTGTATTTTGTTGGTGAAATGCGATGGACAATTTTGCCCACAGCAGTGACACCCATAAACAGCCACGAAGTGAACGACCAATTTTATTAATGGGAATTGTTGGCCAGGAAACCGGGAGAGAGAGAGAGAGAGAGAGAGAGAGAGGGGAAAAAAAAAACTCCCTTCTGTTTCAAATAGGGCCATGGAATCTTTTAACGTCCACCTGACCAAACAGATGGGACCTGTTTAATGAAGGACAGCATCTCCAACAAGGCATCACACCCCTGACAGCGTACTGGAGCTTCAGCCTGGAGGTGAGAGTCCTACCGACTGAGCCAGGCTGACACACCATCGCTCTTGCTCTCAGCACTCACCGTCCCTGTACAGGTGACACATTTCAAGCGCCCGAATTGTAAGCGCTCTGTATGAAAAAAAAATACCGTTTTTGCTGTAGCATATTGTGGTGCCTTTAGGGACGGCGAGGAAATGCCGCCTGACAACTCCATGTAGGTTATGCAGGTTAGTTTGTAAACTGTTGGGTAACTTTACGATCGTGCTTGTCCTTGTGCTTGTTACAAAATCGTGGCCGTGGGGGGAAAAACACCATAGATTCAAAGATCGGCGCAAAACAGAATTGTAAATCCCCGAATAAAAATTGGTGTCACACGCATGTTACCAACGCACGTTCCACAGCTGCATCTCAGTCATGTTAACTTTGGATGGTAGGATGTTTTTTTTTAATGAATGAAACGTTAGCAGCTTTTCCTGTAGAGGTGACCAACAAGAACAATAACAGGGTTACATTTGTATAGCGCCTTTCACGTCGGGAGGACGTCCCAAGGCGCTGGACAGAGTACAGCATTTCAGACCCGAGCTCAACCGTAATAATAATAATAATAATCCTTGCATTTGATATAGCACCTCATCACACCTTCGAGGGGTCTCAAAGCGCTTCGCAGAACATACTGTAAAGTGAATTGACTGTATATTTTCGGGGCGAAACACAGCAGCCAATTGCGCGCAGCGGCGTTCCCACAAACAGTCGTGGATTGAGGTTAGCAGAAACAAATCTTAAGAACAGAACTAATAATCCTTGGATTTGATAGATCACATCAGGAGGATGCCTCAAATCACTTCATAGGACTTAATATTATGTGTAGTGATTTATGTATTTTGTAGGTGAAACACACAGCATAATAAAGAGACGTCTCCCTCGACGGAGTAATTGACACGTGAAGTTCCAGAATCGCATGAAACATTTATCCGAAATATGCTTGTTTTATATACACATTGCACCGTCGAGAAAAGCAAGAGATTACGATTGTTTGAGCCCCGTTGTACCACTGACTCGCATTAAAATTTAATTACAAAAAAATTAAAATACATCTTACAGTTTCTTTCAAGCAATTAGCTGACAATCCCACTTCTAAAGCAATCCACTCCGTTGAATGATTGACTTTTAATTTGTGAAATTGACAAGTATATCATGAGAGGAGACACTTCAGCCTTGAAATCCAATTGTAAATGTATTCACTGCTGCATTGCAATGACTTTCAAGTTGTTTGGCGAGGAAATAAATGTGCGTAACGTTCCAATTTTCATATCATTATACTCAAAGAGTTCGACATATTTCATATTTCCTTCTCTGGCGCTTTCAATATTACAATTATGACAGGGACCTTTCAAATGTTGCTACCGAAACATTATTCAAAGCGAATCTCCTCCGGAGCTTCTTATTGTGCAACTCGAGACACAAGATGGCACAATAAAAGGCAACGTCATAAATTGTCAATTTGCAAGTTCAGCAAGACCATTAGGATGCCTGATGGGTCGTTATCGGGACACTGTGTTTCCGAGGGGCGTCTGTCAGGCGCTGGTGTAATCATTCAAAAGCCATCGAAGGAGCAGGCACCCAAGATGTGACACAGGGTCAATACCTCAGGCGCTCGGAAAACCTTCTTCCAATTTAAATTCAGGCGTTTCGCAGATTGGATCAACACGAGTGCCTTTACAGTTCCACTTCCATTACATTCTAGTCTGAATCCTGAACCCTGTAGCAGAGCGAGCATTACCCCCGATTTAAGGGAAGAATCTGAATGTATTCCAAAAATACACGCTTTACTGCATACTGGATTTGAGGTGTTGGCCTGGCTCAGCTGGTAGCACCCTCAGCGTCCGAGTGACAAGCTTGTGGTGTTCAAACCCACACTCCAGGGCTTTGAACTCGCTGGCGAGGCTGACACTCCAATGAATGCTGTTTTGCCGGTTACCAAGTTTCGATTCAGGCGTAACTAATAATCCTGATTGCAATTGGTACGGCGCCTTATCGAGTCTTCGAGACGTCTCAAAGCGCTTCGCAGGATGTACCGCGAAGCGAATCGCCTGTGCATTTTGTGGGCAAAATGCGACAGCCAATTGCGCGCAGCGGCGTTCCCCGCACGCAGTCGTGGATTGAGTGACCAATTTATTATTATTATTATTTTAAATGGGGAGTTTCCGCGAAAATAAAATAATTGATCGTTCACTTCATGGCTGTTTGTGGGACCTTGCTGCGTGCAAATTGGTTGCCACATTCACCTACAAAACACACAGTCTCTGCACTTGAAAGTCAAACTAAAGCATCGTTCAGCACTAACCCCCAATGAAAGGCGATATATAACTTCAAGCTGTTGTTACAAATCCTGTAAAATGCCTTGAGCGGCTGCTTCAAATACAAAGATCAATATTATCAACACCTTTCCAATAAGGAGACTGTGGGGCAGAATGTGATCAAAGTTGTATACTTTATCTTCTGAACGTGACCCCAAAACATTGTTCCAACAGTCGCTTCAGGTTAAAACGAAGCTAACAAGGCATTTCCAATCCTTAACCTGAATTTCTTTGAAACGTCTCGAAGACGCGATAAGGCGCTGTATCAAATGCAAGGATTATTATTATTATTATATAGTATCAGGATTATTTAATGTATCGCCTTATTAATAATTTGTGATTGGGAAAATTAAAAGCCTGCCTACTTTCCCTGTTTTCTACATTTCTTTTTCCTTCCTAACATTAAATATTTTTAAACACTGGCAGATTTCAGGCTTTGCAGCCTAGCGGCTGGACCTTGTCCTGGACTGGTTCAAATCGTACCTCTCGCACCGCCTCCACTTCATCTCCACAAATGGTTTTGTCCTCTAGCCCCCGTACCACCTTGTGCGGCGTTCCTCTGGGATTAATTAATTAATAATTATTATTATTTGTTATTATATGCTCCCTCTTGGTGACATCGTCCGCAGACATGGGGTCAACTTCCACATGTGTGCGGATGACACCCAACTCTACCTCTCTGCCTCCACCCTCGACTCCAGGATCACTGCTGTCCTGACTGAATATCTGTCAGACATCAAGTCCTGGATGAGAGCGAACTTTCTACAGTTGAGCGTCAACAAGACGGAGGATCTCCTGATTGGCTCCCGTCAGCGCCTCCTCACCTCAGACGCTGACAGCGTCACCATCCATGGCTGTACACTCCCCCTCACTGAGCCAGTCCAGAACCTTGGGGCTTTGTTTGACCCTCAACTTCCTTTCTACCCCACATCCGTGCCATGACCCCCTCTGCCTTCCCCCACCTCCGCAACATCACCCGGCTCCGCCATTGTCTCACGCCGCAGGCTGCCGAGACCCTCATACACACATTTATAACATCCAGACTTGACTACGCAAACTCCCTGCTTGTCGGCCTTCCCGACGACTCCCTCCATAGGCTGCAGATCATCCAGGACTCTGCAGCCCGTGTCCACTCCCGCACCGGGCTCTGTGCCTATCACCCCCATCCTCGCCCAACTCCACTGGCTTCCCCTCACACAGGGGATTCAGTTCAAGATCCTCGTCTTCACCTTCAAAGACCTCCATGGTCTTGCTCCCCACTAGCTCTGCGACCTCCTAACCCCCTACCAACCTGCACGCTCCAGCCAGCTTCACAGGCCCTGCCTCTCCCGCCCCACCATTGGTGGGCGGGCCTTCTGCCACTCTGCCCGAAGCCTCGGGAACTCCATCCCACAGTCCCTCTGCCTCGGCCCCTCCCTTGCCTCCTTCAAGACACATCTCAAGACCATGCTCTTCGCCTGTGCTTTTGATCGCCCCGCTTCCCCCTCCTGCCCTGCACCCTCCCCGATCCCGACCCCCAGGTCGGGTCCAAAACTCTGACTGTCCAGGGCCGTGGGACGTCCTCCCGACGTGAAAGGCGCTTTACACGTAATTTTGTTGCTGGTCTCGTTGCTGCTCAAAACTGGTTTTGCGATATCTTTTCAGTGCTTGCAGATTCTGCACGCTTAAAGAATTTCCATTTGATCAGCATTCACAACTTCTGTAGCCATGTCAAGTGTTCAGATTTCATTAAAAAAGACTCTTGTCAAACATTTCGGCTTTGTTACAACACAGATCGTCATAAAATCCTACGATAATCTGGGCCTTTGGAGAATTCACATCAACTCAAGTGAAAAAAGGTCTCTCGCAGTCAGATTGCACATCAATAATAAATGACTTATCTCTGAGGCAAATGAACTGCAGATGATTATATTAATAGCTTCGTTCAAGGTCACCTAATTTTCATGGCAGATCAGGCGGATCCTAAGGAATCCAAGAAGTGAATCTTGAATAAAATAAAATCTACTGAGTGATGAGAAACAATAGTTTCTTTCAAAACCTTAGGCAGGTTTCCTTACTCCACACGCCTCGGTTTACCTCGCAGGAAGTAGGAACCCGGTTATTAGTCAATTGCTAAATCGTTTTCAGGGAGTAATAATGCCTCAAAGACAAAAAAAAAATGCGGTCACTCAATCCGCGACTGTTTGTGGGACGCTGCTGTGCACCATTGACTGTCGGGTTTCGGCCACAAAATACACAGTCAATCCATTTTACAATATATTCTGTGAAGCGCTTTGAGACGCATCAAAGCCGTGATAAGCCACTATTGGCCTTTAGGCTTAGCCTCTACTCCAAAATCAAGAGGCAGTTTTCCTCGTGAACTCTCTCCCCCAAAAGGCTGTGGATGCTGAATCCATTGAAATTTTCAAGACTGAGGTGGACAGATATTTGTTAGGTCAGGATATCAAAGGATGTGGGGCAAGGGCAGAACAGGCTCAAGGGGCTGAATGGCCTACTCCTGTTCCTATGTAAAATATGTGTCTGTGCTCACTTGCAGCGTTATCTGAAGACGGTGGAAAAATTAATTATGATGACCCTCCTTTAAACATTTACACTCAGCCTTCGTTTTATAATTAGAATTGAGCTCACTTATCTATTCAATGACAATGGTACTTCAAAACCTTTCCCGGCGCACTGAAGTGGGAGAATTTAACACAGCCTATGAAACTCACTGGACACAGATCAGTAGATTAAGTATCCTTTTTCCCTAATTATCATATAAAGGCGTTAAATTAAATCGAAGACATTACTTTTATCCCAGGAATAAATTCATTTCCAAGGTTCAATGGAAACCTGTTGGCACCGGAGTTGTTAATATCTGGCGATGCTTGAAATTTGATCATTTGGCTGAAATGTTTAAAAACAAACTGCATCTATTTTATATTAATACACTGAGGCATAAGAGTTCTCACTAAATCGACATAGTCTGCGTGAGGGCAGGTCTATTTTGCTGTTGAATGACTTGCCTAGTGAATAGAGATTTGGTTAGAAAAACTAATTTCATGACAGGCAGCCCAGGAGTGCAATGTTGCTTAGATAGCTCTCAATCACATTCCCTTTTGTGCGTTACTGCAATCACAAAAGAAAGCAGCAGTTGATACCTCTGGCGGCAATCATGAATTTAATGTACGCAAACGGTGCTGATAGAACTGGGGCAAAGGCGAGTTTAATTTTGGTGTCAGACAGGAACATAAGTGAATGGGGGAACAACAACAGAAATTGCACACGAAAAGAAAACAGGACGTGGAAATGACAGAATAAAGATACAGAGCGGGAAAGAAAAAACAAAAAACGGGCAAAGTGAAAAAATGAGAATGACAAGCAAGTGAAAAACACGAATCACCTTTTCCCTCCCCAATCTTGGGGTCCACCTGTCAAATTCGGTCACTTAAGTGCGGCAATACTCAAAATTCCTATAAATTATCAAAGACACAAGAGCACATTTCGCTCGAAGCTTTTACGCTTGAACAGAATGACTCTGTAAGAATAACGGACAGATGTCATTCCATTTGGCAGCTACTTAGCCCTTTCCCTCCTTAAGGGGAATAGTTTGCTTTCAATGAATTCAGCTGACGGCGAGGACTGTTAGGGAAAACATGCACAATATGCAAGCAGCAGAGACTTATGATGGCACTTTCCAACAGAACACACCCGAGAGACGAGGAAAAATGGTGGCACAGCCACAGGAGAGACGGGCAACGTAAGCTGCAGAAGTAGGCAAGTGGCTGCTACAAACCATACAATCCACTTTGATTCCTGATACTTCCCAAATACTATTGGTTTGTAACAAATTTTTACAAGGTTTTTTTTTCAATAATGGGAATTGTCTTTACATTAAGAGCTTTATTCAAACCCTCAAACCCTGACGCTTTGAGCACTCGCTTCGCAAGCAAGAGGACCCGGGCAGTGCGAAACCTTGGGCAAGTGTCCATACTCCACACGCCTCTAATTTATGTAACAGTAAGTAGGAACCAGGTCGATTGGCGGTTGGCTTTCTGAGGGTAATAATCCCTCCAAAAACAAAGACAAACCAGACGAATTTGGTCACTTCAATCCACGACTGTTTGTGGGGACGCTGCTGTGCGCGATTGGCTGCCGCGTTTCTCCCACAAAATACACGGACAATCCGCTTTACGGTGTGTCCTGTGAAGTGCTTTGCGATGTGTCAAATGACAAACGTTTCTAAATCTCCAGCAACTGAGAAAAAGGGTACATTTTAGGGTTCGAGTGTAGTTAACTCCTTCCACAACGTAGACTTATGTAGCTCCATTCACATATTCTTTACAGAACACGTGGGAGATGGTGAGAGTAGGAGGAAGATAACTGAGGTGTCAGCGATTGGGATGTTTTTTTTTAAAAGAAGGCTTTTGAAAGGAGGGGGTGGGGGGGGGGAAAGGTGGAGGGGTGTAGAGAGAGAGAGTTCCAGAGCGTAGAGGTAAGGTTGTAGAATTCTCCAATGCAAATGAATCACAGCTTATAACTCATATCACTAACACTCCTTGGGATGGTTGACAGGTATTTTTACACAGGACTGATTTCTTCACTTATGGAATATAATATGCATATAAATACACAAATAATATCTCTGTTGCAGGGTGGAAGGAAACTGCTTCACTCACTTTGGGTGTCGGATATCAGGGAGGCTCCGATTTAAGGAAATCTTTTCGCTGACCACGATATTGAAACCATTTTCCCTGTACGCTTGATCAGCTTGATCTTCGGGAGTCATTGGGAAAGGCTTGCCCTGTTCTCCATTTCCTAAGAGAATAACACAAACCACACAAGGCCATTACGGGGAGGAAGACTGTGAAAGTCTCCCCATTTCTCCTGCGTTCCTTCCATCAAAATTTCATTCAGTAACTGACACCGTACCCGTTACCGTAGCTTTCAGTCCGGAGAGAAGATGTCTCAAAGGGGATCTTTGAGGTGTGTGAAATTTTAAAACAGGATTGAAAATGGAAGCTCCGATCTATATACTATAGGATGCTCGAAGACAGTAGCGCAAGAGGACACAGGTTTAGAGTTGTAAAGGGGCCCATTTCAGGACAGACACCAGGTAGTTTTATCTTTACTCAGAGAGTAATTTCACCCACAAAACATACACTCAATTTGTTTTACAGTATATCCTGTGAAGCGCTTTGTGATGTCTAGAAGATGTAATAAGGCTCTGTATCAAAGGCAAGGATCGCTAATTAATGACTGGAACAGGTTGCCAGGAAGGGTGGTTGAGCCCAGGATGGTAGACTCATTTATATAAAAAAATACTTAATGCCTGTGAAGGGAGGACGATAACAACAACAACAAAAACCTGCACTTATATAGCGCCCATCACGCCGGATCGCAGAGCACTTAACAGTAGCGGAGCCTGATTCCTGGTGACTCTGGAAAGCCTGGCAATGGGTATTGAGATCTAACGGACCGAACGGCTTCTTCTTTGAGAACTATAGGAAAATGAACAGTTGAACAGTTTTTTTTTAAATCAGTTAATTTATCAAACTCAGCAAACGAGAGCTAGAACTCAAGCCTTCGACTCACAAACACAAACCTAATTTTGTTGCATCCCTCCTGATCGTCTCATAATCGTGCCAATCTTTCTTCTTCACTCCATCTCCGCCCAAATTGTTCTCTTTCCTTGGCCTGATTGGTAGACCCTGGTTAAAAGGAGAAAAATCTTGGTATTGGACTTGCACTACAGTTAGCCAGAAAGGTACAGTTGTGTGCAAATGGCGCCTGGATTTAACCCACAAAATACAGTCAATCCATTTCACAATATATTCTGTGAAGCGATTTGAGACGTCTCAAGGACGTGATAAGGCGCTATGTCAAATGCAAGGATTATTTGATGATGATGATGATAAGAACGTGGTATTTCAAAGGAAAGGGCAAAATAATAAGACATAGCCACCCTGTTGTCAGCATTTTCACTTGCATTGCATCAGAGACTTAACCCAGCAAAAAAAAAACACAGCTCAAAAGAGATTAATTCTGTCTCTGCAAAATTCGCTGATTTTAGCCAAATCAGCGTATGGGGCAATCCAACACAACTTTACTGCCCTTAGGCTAAGGAGAGAAGCAACGTCTCAGCCAGGGTTTGTGGTCCTGATTGATATCCATTGATCCCTGCCATAAAATCTGGGTACGTGAGTGGAGAATACTAAACATCAGAACGAATTCCAAAAGCAATCCAAGTCATAACCTATTTAACTTGTAGATAAGGGAAGAAAGCTGTGGGACCCATAAACCTGAAAGTTGGCCATTTTCAAGCCGGCTACGTAATACAAGTATTAAATTCTCAGTATTGCCTTCACAAAGGATGCACATCGAACTCTCAATTAATCCCACGTGAAATTGAAGGAGGGGCATACATCAGTTGCTGGCAGCCTAACAGTGGGATCTCTGTGTTAAAATGCAATATTTTCCATTAGTTCCAATGTTAATCAGTCACGGAGCTAGATCTGCAATTGCAACCTGGCGACAATTACAATGCTTCTCACAGACTGGGGAGGAGAATGCAATGATCAGACAGGAGACCATTTATAATATTATTAATAATCTTTGAATTTGATACAGCGCCTGATCACGCCTTTGAGACGTCTCAAAGCGCTTCGCAGGATATACCGTAAAGTGAACTGGATGTAAATCTTGTGGGCACTGCTCTGGAACCTGTTTATGAAAAGAACATTCATCGATCATCCATCCACACCCAGCAAACACAACTCCTTGTTGATAAGCACGCCTTTATCGGATTTAATTAAATACCTAACCAAAGATAAACTATTCGAGTACGTCACTCGTGCAATTCTGGATTTTAAGGCGTGCTTTAACGATTGCTATAGTTTCCCAGAGATATACATCATTGAGAAACATTAAGTTATGAAGTTTGACAAAGAACCCAAAGTGAAACTTTCCAAACAAAATGTTCAAACTGTTGCTGTGCAACAGAACATTTTTTGCTTCCACCATCTCCCTTGGGAGCCTGGTCCATACGTTCATTGAAGTAGTGTTTCTGCAGATGACCTTCTTCTGAATTTACCCCCCACCCACTTCAATCGCAGGCCGTCTCCTCTGGTTCTACTGTTTAGTACAAGATAAATCATCTTATCATGGTCCACGTAATCTAGTCCCTTCAGAAACTTAAAGACCTCAATCATATCACCCCTCAACCTTTCCTTCTCCCGAGTGAATACACCCAGTTTGTCTTGTAGTCCAGTTTTCCATCCCCTAAATCATTCTGGTTGCTCTTCTCTGTATTCTCTCAATTGCTACATAATCCTTTTTATATTGCAGACCAGAACTGCACACAGTATTCCAAGTGTGGTCGCACCTTTTAATTGCCTCCAGCTCCATTTAGTAATTGTTACTTGTTCCTGAACACCGCACCTTTTAAATAGGACCGGATATGATGTGATGCAATATTGTATGAATGGTCAAAGGGATGAAAATTGTCAGTCAAATTGTTGGAAAAGGATTCTTTTGGGTGGGGAAAAAACTGCAGCCTATTGATCGAATGCGAGTCACTAGCCTCTGGAATGCCTCGATGAACTGACAATAACAGTCTGGTCCATCGAGACAAATCAATCTCCCAGAGGTAACCAACCCAGAAGTTGAGTTGCATTCTGTTCTGTGGGCTATTAGCATCAACACGCTTCACTATGTCACAATCAATGAGTAAAGGCACCGTTAACCTCAAAGAACCATAGAGCATTTACAGCACAGAAGGAGCCTTTTGTACCATCTTATCTGATCTAGTCCTAACTCCCTTCCTGCGACGAGTAACCGTAGACATTTACATTTACAGAAGGCATCCGTTCATTTGGCCCATTGTGTCTGTGCTGGCCATTTAAAGAGCCATCATTTCAGTCCCATTTATCTGTCCCAAATCCCTGTAGTTTTCCCCTATTTAGATATCAAGCTCGCGTCCCCCGCCTCCCTCACCCCACCATTGGCGGGCGGGCCTTCCATCACTCTGCCCTCACCCTCTGGAACTCCGTCCCACAGTCCCTCTGCCTCACCTCCTCCCTCAGCACTTTCAAGACCGCGTCTCAAGTCCCTCCTCTTCGACCGTGCTTTCGATCTCCTTGCTTCCCCCCCACCCTCCCCCAGGGCCCGTAACTCTGTCTGTCCAGCGTCTTATACTTTGCGGAATTAGGTAAGCGAGGTGTGTCCCTGTCGGGAAAAGGAGAGAGAGAGCCCGTTCCGTTCCAACAATCTATCTCTGGGATTTCCATGTGTAAGTGGGATTCTCAGTTTGGTTTGGATACTCTTAATAATAATAATAATCCTTGCATTTGATATAGCGCTTTTCACGTTGGGAGGACGTCCCAAAGCGCTTCACAGAACACACTGTAAAGTGAATTGACTGTATATTTATGGGCGAATGCGGCAGCCAATTGTGCACAGCAGCGTCCCACATACAGTCTTGGATCGAGCAACCAAACATTTTATTTTGAAGGAATTATTACCCCCAGAAAAGCATTGTCCAGCTCGCTCGAGACTGCGGTCAGTCCACCTAAGTTTGTCGTTGTGAACCGTTGCCCCTGGTGAAGTTCTCATGTGCCGTCTGCTTGTGTGAAAGCCACGTGATAAAATGCTTCAAGATCATTAGTGACATCCAACTGTTTTTTGTATCAGATGCACCTCCACAGGAACCCTTATCAGCGCAGCAGTACTCATACATAGCATTACCATCACCAAAGCACAACACACATCAACACAGAATGAAACCAGACAGTGACGCACAAATCAAAGAAAATAACCGAAGCAGCGAGTTAGATCAGTAACCGTTGGCACGCGCACGGTTTGCTTCATCTTTGTGCAATGCAGTTTTACATTCGGCTCAGCTTGTGCTCCCACGGTAAGGTTAGCACGCACTATTAGGTGAGGGCTGACAACAGCTTAAACGGCCACATCCCCGCCCTAGCCCCCCTCCCGCCCTAGCCCCCCTCCCGCCCTAGCCCCACTCCCGCCCTAGTCCCCCTCCCGCCCTAGCCCCCCTCCCGCCCTAGCCCCCCTCCCGCCCTAGCCCCCCTCCCGCCCTAGCCCCACTCCCGCCCTAGCCCCATCCCCACTCTAGCTTTCTTCCACACGGTCACAACATCAACCATCATTGTATAGTGATGTGACGTGCTTTGTCCCGTCAGTAATGACAGGTCTGGGAAGACTCCACGCGTCATAATAATCCTTACATTTGTCACAGCTCCTGATCACGCCGGAAGGACGTCTCAAAGCGCCTCGCAGGATTTACCGTGAAATGGAGTAACTCGGGAGGCAAAGCAGATCAATTATGCACAGCAGGGTCCCATAAACAGCCGTGGAGCGAGGGACCAATCTTATTTGGGCGACTGTTAGCCAGAAGACCAGGAGAGAGAAACTCCCTTCTCTTTTTGATTAGCGGCGCGGGATCTTTAACGTCCACCTGAACAGGTACAAACGGGACCTCGGTTTATAATCTCACCCGCAGGACAACACCTCTGACAATGCAACACTCCCCTCCCTACCCATCCACAGCGCTGCATAGTCCATGTGAATTCAAGTCCCGACTTGATTTGAACCCACAACCTTCTGACTCAGAGGCAAGAGGTTCTACCACAAAACCAAGCTGACACATTGCACATAATATTCCCACAACCTTCCGACTGCAGCGAAAGTGCCACTAAGTGAGTAGTCATTCACTTTGTGGCTATTTGTGGGACGTCGCTGTGAGAATATTAACTCACATGTTCACTTTCAAAATGCACAGCCACTCCACTTTACAGGAAATTCTGTGAAGCACTTCGAGATATTCTCCTGACGTGAGAGCTGCAAAATTAAATCAGGGAGTATTGTTATTATTATTTAAACCCTTAAGAATCTTGTTTCATTTCTGGTATTTTGCAGTGCAGAACCGTTTGTTCAAACCCCATTAACTGGTTCAATATTCACAGAATCCTAAATATACCCTCATTAGTATGTGTTGTTGAGCACCAACTAAATTGCCTGTTTATAATGAGTGAGCATTACAAAATAACTTACAACTTCCACAACGGTCACCCTCGTTTCCGACGCATTATATAAAAACTAGAATATGTTTAAAAAGGCCGCATTCGCTATTTCCTCCGAGTGTCATGAAAGCATTCAGTCCCACTGAGGTTTAGAGTACTCTAAATAGGTGAGAAATTGACAGCGTCAATGACACTTAATAGCTGTGCGTTGAGCAAAGGATATGATGGATGAGCATTGAGCATAGGAGAGATTTGGAGCAGAAATCTCATTAATGTGTTATGGCCGTTGGTCCAGTCGCAAAAATCATCTTTGCTTAATTCTAGCTCAGATTTGTATTTAAATTTTTTTAAAAAGAATATCTATAGATATCGAGACTTCCTCCTGACATGAAAGATATACAAATGCATCACATGTATATCTAAAATGATGATATAATCCTGGCATTTGATACAGCTCCTTGTCGCGTCGTTGAGACGTCTCGAAGCGCTTCACAGAATATACTGTGAAGTGCGGTGACTGTATATTGTGCGGGCGAAACGCGGCAGCCAATCGCGCACAGCAGCGTTCCCCACACAAACAGTCGCGGATTGATTTTTTTGAAATTCTGATAATTGTACATGAAACATCAACCCAATTAACGTTGGCTTTCAACTTAACTTGTTAGATTTGA